TTAAATTTCCAGGAACCATTTACTATATGAACCATCTCGGCAACCCTAGGTTCACGGAAAAGACATTCACAAATTTGGAAAGGTCCCATCGCTTACCACACGTTTGCACAATAATGATATATGGTAAACTTGGGGGGTATCGCTTGCAGGAAACGGCTACATATATATATATAATTCACAGAAATCAACGTCCAATTTGGGTATCGCTAGTGTGGATATTAGAGAAACACAATGACATAACCTTGAAAAGGGGTGTCGCTAATTTGGAAAGGTCCCATCGCTTACCGTGTGCTTTTAACAATTTCCATCAATTGCCATTTCCATAAACCAATGTCCCTCCAATACATATTTAGAATTGCCGGGGTTTTTGCGGTGGCTCATATGCAGACCAGATCCAGCGGCCCCGCAGGCTGAGAGCAGTACCTGCAGCAGAAGCAGGATAAGTCTATATATGTATATATCTGAAACAGATACAGGACAAGAATATCAAATATATGTATATAATAAAATCAAGTACAACAGTTATATGGTCGTATTAAATGGAGGCACATCAAAACATGTTAGAAGCGTAGCACCACGAGCGTGTCTGAAGTTCCAAGAACATGCTAGAAGCGTAGCATCACGAGCGTGTCTGCAGTTCCAAGAACCTCTTAGACGCGTAGCATCACGAGCGTGTCTGAAGTTCCAAGAACCTGTTAGACGCGTGAGCGTGTCTGCAGTTCCAAGAACCTCTTAGACGCGTAGCATCACGAGCGCATCTGAAGTTCCAAGAACCTGTTAGAAGCGTAGCATCACGAGCTTGTCTGACGGTCCAAGAACGTGTTAGAAGAAACAAAGAAGCGCGCGACAAGAACGTTATCCCCCCCACCACCCCTCCACCGCCCCCAACCCCCCCCCAACCCCCCCAACCCCAGAAATATACAAAAATGTAGAAGAAAGGCAAGTGCGTGTGCCTCCGACTACAAAAACGATGTAGCATGAAGGTGAAGGTCATGTCAAAACACAAGTGACGCGGCATGAAAAATGTCAAAAATCACATAAAACCACACGGCCCAATAGGGGTCGTGGTCCAACTAGGTGAACTACATGGTTTACGACCATTTCGCGGCCGTGGAAAAATGTCCACGATGTGAATAGAAAATAAGCACAACGCTATAGCGAAACAATGATTTTGCACATCCAGCATGTGAAAATGCATCATTGTCTTTTCAGAAAACTACTTGTTTGGTTTGCACTGTCATCATCATAATGAGCATCATCATCATGATCATCATCACATCACCACATCATCACATCATCACATCATATCATAATCATCACCACCATCATCATCACCATCATCATCATCATCGTCATCATCGTCATCATCGTCATCATCATCATCATCGTCATCATCATCGTCGTCATCATCATCATCATCACAACATCATCACAGCATCATCACAGCATCATCATCATCATCGTCATCATCATCATCGTCATCATCATCATCATCTTCATCATCATCATCACCATCATCATCATCATCATCGTCATCATCGTCATCATCGTCATCATCGTCATCATCATCATCAACGTCATCATCATCATCATCATCATCATCATCATCACAACATCATCACAGCATCATCACAGCATCATCACAGCATCATCACAGCATCATCACCATCATCATCATCGTCATCATCGTCATCATCATCATCATCGTCATCATCATCATCATCACAGCATCATCACAGCATCATCACAGCATCATCACAGCATCATCACAGCATCATCGCAGCATCATCACAGCATCATCACCATCATCATCATCATCGTCATCATCATCATCATCGTCATCATCATCATCATCACAGCATCATCACAGCACCATCACAGCATCATCACAGCATCATCACAGCATCATCACAGCATCATCATCATCATCATCATCATCATCACATCATCATCATCATCATCATCACCATCATCATCACCATCATCATCATCGCAGCATCATCAGGATCATATATATCGTCAGCAGCTGCAGCTCAGTTGCGTAGCATCCAACATGTGTGCAACCTACAAGGAACGTTAACATGCCCCACCCCAACCTAACCTTTTAGTTGCGTAGCGTCCAACATGTGTGCAACCTACAGGGAACGTGAACATGCCCCACCCCACCCTAACCCTTCAGTTGCGTAGCATGCAACATGTCTGCAACGTACAAGGAACGTTAACATGCCCCACCCCACCCTAACCCTTCAGTTGCGTAGCGTCCAACATGTGTGCAACGTACAAGGAACGTGAACATGCCCCACCTCACCCTAACCCTTCAGTTGCGTAGCGTCCAACACGTGTGCAACCTACAAGGAACGTTAGCATGCCCCACCTCACCCCAACCCTTCAGTTGCGTAGCATCCAACATGTCTGCAACGTACAAGGAACGTTAACATGCCCCACCTCACCCTAACCCTTCAAATACGTTCAAAAATCAAAAAACACTTCCTGCCACGGCCGTGCAGCGGTCGGTGTCCAACTACATACAGCTACAAGATGGTTGGAATATGGCTATACTACAGATAATGCAGGGATTTGATGGAATATCGAACCAAGAACATGGTATGGGTGTGCTACCATTGGCGTTGAATCCGCTCTGGTTTTAGGTCAGTGGAAGGAGATGCACTGGCAGTAGCTGGCAAGGATCTCCTGCGATCCCTTTTTGCTTGAGACAGCACGGGACACTGGGCCAAGCTTTTCGAGGTGAGATCAGGATGGGTGATGTCACCACGAAGTCACCAGAAATGATGGTTCGTAAAGGTGACTATGGCAAAAATGGCCAGGGTATTTCAGTCTGTTGAATTCTTATGATTCAACCAGATCATCCGTAATGACAAGAGATCACCAAAAAACTCACCAGACATTGCAAAGCTCACGGTTTTTGATTGGGGCCGTTCCATGTTTGGCAGATTTTGGCAGGTCGTGTTTCGGAATTCATATTTTAGAGTGCTATATACATCTACATATATATATATATTATACAAGTACTGTGTCCAAGTTTGGCAAATTTGCCAACCGCAGCTGGCCCCATGGCATCAATGGTACCATTGGGATGGGGATCCAAGTCGCAGAACATGGGGCCACGAGATCAACATCAGGGGCCACGAGAAATATTGAGAAATATTGAGAAATATAGCTATGGCATGCTATGGCTCCATGAGTATATATATATTATATGTTATATATATAGTATATATACAACATATATATATAACATAATATATATATATATAACATATATATATATATACGGCAAATGCCTGGGCTTTGCCCGGACCCGCAATGACGACAGGCGACGCATCATCATCATCATCATCATCATCATCATCACCATCATCATCATCATCATCATCATGATAATCAGCATCAGCATCAGCATCAGCATCGTCATAATCATCAAACCCTTTTTGAAGATCTTTCATGAATGTAGAAGTTTAGCGCGGGTGGGAGAATTAAACCCTTCTTGAAGATCTTCAAAATGTAGAAGTTTAATGGGGGTGGGAGAATTAAACCCGTATTGAAGATCTTCAATGAATGTAGAAGTTTAGCGCGGGTGGGAGAATTAGACCCTTATTGAAGATCTTCAATGAATGTAGAAGTTTAACGGGGGTGGGAGAATTACACCCTATTGAAGATCTTCAATGAATGTAGAAGTTTAACGGGGGTGGGAGAATTAAACCCTTATTGAAGATCTTCAATGAATGTAGAAGTTTAACGGGGGTGGGAGAATTAAACCCTTATTGAAGATCTTCAATGAATGTAGAAGTTTAACGGGGGTGGGAGAATTAAACTCTTATTGAAGATCTTCAATGAATGTAGAAGTTTAACGGGGGTGGGAGAATTAAACCCTTATTGAAGATCTTCAATGTTTGTAAAGCTTATCGGGGGTGGGACTTTATTCCCTAATACCTTTGTTGTTTTCCCATAGGAATTTAAGGTTTAACGGGGGTGGGAGTTTAATATTCCCTAGTACTTTTGTTGATCTTCCCAATTGAATGTAAAGTTTAAGGAGGGTGGGAGTTTAATATTCCCTAGTACCATTGTTGTTTTTCCCACAGGAATTTAAGGTTTAACGGGGGTGGGGGTTTAATATACCCTAGTACCTTTGTTGTTTTTCCCATAGGAATTTTGTGAAGTTGCATCAACATTTGTTTGGGAATGGCAGACCTCTACGCTGCAACGCCTGGGCAAAGCCCAGGCGTTGCGCGTATATATATATATATACACATATACATATATATATATAACATATGTATATATATATATATTTATATATAGAGATAGATAGATAGATTGACTATGTCCTCATTTTTGAGCCTTGTCTCGCCGGATGCGGTCCCCATAGCCATACTCTGCCCTCAGGGACCCGCCGATGTCTTCGTTGCAGCTTTTTGTACATACGGCCGAAGCACAGAGGCGGCCTTACCACAGCAAGACACAGGCGGTGGGTGAAGTGACCAATAGAATACCAATAGTACGATAGTCACAGGATATCATTCCGCATGGGCTTTGACCCGGAGTCAGATCAAAGAGCTCGTCGACACTGTGTGTCATATTACAATCTTTGCTGGTGACAGCGGTTTGTTGCATGTTTGAAACATGCGAGAGACAATATGTACAGATTCAGTGCGGCTGTTCCATCCACAATTTAAGACCTGCCAAAGTAGGAAATGGATACTTTCAAAAGAAAACCATTGTGGAAACCGGTGGATTTCGCAATCAACCTATGATCAATAGACATCAATTGTCAATAGATTCATTTCGGAGCATTCAAAGGGGTCCCTCACTTTAAGATGCTGCTCCTTGTGTCCAGCAGCTTTCAGTGTTGGAAGGGCCGTTTTTTGCAGCTATGTGGTGCTTAAAATCTACAGCATCAGCTCTTTCAACAGAGATCGTTTCACTGGCCGGCACCGCCTTGAACAGTGGTGCAATATAGCGGTGTATTGCCAGAGCAAAACATGGGCTGGCTGAGTTCGATTCTGAGTTTAAGCGCTGCGGTATGTACCAATACACACACTGGTGATATTCCTCATGGACATAATCAATCTATCTATGTTGTATATATATATATGCTTTCAGGGCTTTCAAGCTTCCCCGACTACAAACACCATACCATAGACCTGGGTTTGTTTAAGGTGATTTTCTATTTCCCACTGGAAAATCCATCATGCGGGGAATGATCCATTTGCAGATGATTAACCAGTTGAAGATGGTGATTTTACCCATAGCTATGTTAAATGACCAAAGGGTATCCATTGATTCAAATCATTTTTTGCGATCTATTCTCATGCACTTGCTTCTTGCTTAGCAGTATTGCAGGTAGCGTCACCACTGTTCTTGTTTCTGACTGCCACTGTCAAAACTCCAGTCTCAATCATTTTTATGTTCAACCCTAGGATAATCATCCAGGTTGACTTTCATTTTTTAAATGGGTATGTCTGAAAATGGGGTATACCCCCAATGAAATAGCCATTTAATAGGGATAATGATCATCAACCATTGGGTTTAGTGGTACACTATTTTCAGACACACCCAAATGTATCTTTCAGATGGTTGGCTCGACCATGACTTTCACTTTGGCAAAGTGAAAAAAGCCTGGACGATGATATGGAATGTCACTAGCCATATGCCATGTATCACCATTGATTTTGGCTATGGAACCCATTTTGGGGATGCATCATTCATCTTATCCCATGTTGTCCAGCCACTATATCCAAATCCCAAATCTGATCTTCGAATCTTATCAATGGCCATTTCAGGAACCTAAACCGGAGGTACCTACCATATATAAGGCCTATTTTTCAGGCCTAAATTTCAGGGAATATCCCCAGAAAATATGGCCTGAAATATGGTACTAACGTACCTCCATCTGTTGGATCCTGAAGATCTCCCATTGATCTTATCCAAATCCTGAAAATTCGACAGTTTTTTTCCCAGGTCCTCCAATAGCAACGTGTCCTTCTTGGACGACATGATCCCCCGGCCCCCGCGGCGAAGCTCCAAGACGTCGCGAATCAGTCGGAGGGCCCAAGGACAGCGGGGTCCAGTCATAGCAACGGCGGAATCTCCGAAAAATCATCATTTTTCATGGGAAAATCCACTATTTCTATGGTCATTTTCAATAGCTACGTTAAATTACCAGAGGGTACAGATTCTAGAAATGGGTTTGTCTGAAAATAGAGAAAACCCCTACACCCAATGGTTTTGCTGATCATGATCCCTACTTTTTATGGCTATTTCATTGGGGGTATACCCCATTTTCAGACATACCCAAATGGTGAATCTACGAAGCCTTGAGGATTTGATGGGAATCATTTTTCCTCATGGCAAAGATTTGGAGATTTGGTGGGGAGTTTTTCACCAATCTGGCTGAAGTTGATCATGACCTCACATCGTGACGTCACATGGGGAATCAATGGGAATCATCCCCATTTTTGGTTGCGAGTTTCAGCTAGTAAAACAGGTTAACGTGAATTATGATCATTCAGCCAGATATACCCTCTGGTAAACTGTCACATAACTATGGAAAATCCACCTATTTTTAATGGGAAAATCCACTATAAATGGCATTTTTCAATAGCTTTTTGTATGTTTTCCAGAGGGTATATCCATGTTACTGAATACTTTGAGGAATTTAAGTACCCAACCTGGTAATTTTCATCTGGCGATTCTTGGGAAATTTTTCCATCAAAGTCTGCGCATCATAAATGGGAACGACTCATCGGGCGAAAAGGAAGGAGGGATTTTCCAGCAAGAGGGGGTATATTGTAATTTGGTTTTCTACCATAGCCCCCAAAAAGGCATCATAGTTACAAAACAACTTATCCATCTAAGGGGTTCACTCGCTGTTGGCGAAGATGGATTGATTTGGGTTTGTCTGAAAACAGGGAACAGAAATGCCATGATCTATCACTATTTTCCAGATTGAAATGGCAATTTTCAGACAAACTGTAGATGCGAGAATATCTCAGACTCACATGGGAGGTTTTGTGATCAGGCGTGAAGAGTCTTGAAGCTAGAAATGTGGGTTGTGCAAGCAAGAAGAGATGGGAGAAGTGGTTGGGAAATGTTGGGAACCATGGTTATAACTTATAACCCAGTGGGATAAATGTGGGACGCGGGCACTTGTCAAACATGGATGCTAATCACTCACAAAGTTTGACAGTCCAAGAAACCTTGAAGTCATGTCATTAAGGTGAGGATTCTGACAGCAACACTCCACTCGCGCAAGGGAAGGCGGCAGATGGCCATGTTTTTTTGGAAAGTGACATCGATTTGGGGTAGCCTCCAAGAAACTAGCTTAGATATGAAAAAGCCACCATTTGTAGATTCTAGGGTCCTAGGGAAACCATGGGTGCTTCGCATCTATGTTGGTTTATCCTAGGGCAAAATCCACGGCCATGCGGTTTCATGCGGAACCAGCATATAGAAACCTGATATATTCGGGGATTTCCCAGCTAGCCATGTTTGATTCCCGGAGAACCCCATGACATATCCCATTCGATGATCAATGATTCACCATTATTCAGCACTATTCACCAGAGTGTTCCCCCCTGTATCAACATAATAGAATCATCATGATACTGTGGATGGGCCAGCGAAATCCTGCATCACCAGACGGATGGTTGAAACATGTTGAAACCCTCAACTGATACCCTCTGGTAAACGTTTACGTAACTATGGAAAGATCCACCTATTTTTAATAGGTAAAAGTCACTATTTCTATGGCCATTTTCCATAGCTTTTTGTATGTTTTCCAGAGGGTATATCCATGTTCAATAGCTATGTTAGTTTTCCCATTAAAAATTGTGATTTTCCATAGCTATGTTAGTTTTCCCATTAAAAATGGCCATTTTCCATAGCTTTTTGTATGTTTTCCAGAGGGTAAATCATGGGATGTTTACCACCTATCAACTGGTCGTTGATCTCTGCAGGCGCTGCCGGTGCCGAGCCTTGAGGAGCTCCGCGAGGTGATGCAAGGCGAAAAATTGGCGAAAAATCGGAGGATTTGATGACCAAAAAGGTGATTTAATGGTGATTTAATGGTGATTTAATGGTGACATATATAATATTATATATATATATACCCTCTGGTTATGACTAACATCGCCATGGAAAATCCCTTATAAATGGAGGTTTTTAGCTGGGAAAACCATCTATAAATGGGCCATTTTCCATGGCTATGTTAAATAACCAGATGATAATGGTGATTTAAAAGTGATCAATATGGATAATATGATGATTTAATAGTAATTAAGTTAATAGTGAGTAGTATGGATAATATGGAGAATCTGGTGGTTTAATAGTTCTTGATATGGATAATGTGGATAATATGGTGATTCAATATGGATAATATGGATACTGTGAATAACATGGTGGTTTTCATAGTGACCTAAATAGTGGTGATAAGATGATTTACCATCATCATAATAGTGATTAACCTGACTAATTATGGATAATATGATGGATAAGACAACATGTGTGATTAATATGGATGAACTATGGGGGTGTCTGGACATGGGGTATACCCCAAAGAATTGCTATTTCATAGGGAACAATGCTGATAAACAATGGGTTTTGGGTTTTGGGGTAGCCTATTTTCGGACAAACCCATATGACTACTATGGTGATGTTCGTAGTGACTTAAATAGTGACTTACCCTCTGGTAATTTAACATAGCTATGGAAAATGGACCATTTACAGATGATTTTCCCAATAAAACTTCCATTAATAATGGATTTTCCATAGCTATGTTAAATTACCAGAGGGTAACATCATTTATATAATAGTGATTAAGTTGACTTGTTATGGATAATGTGATGGATACTATGACCAAATACTATATGAATAGATAGATTATATATATGATATACCATCAATGAAAATTAGTATATATTGTAGTCATAATAGATGAATCGCTGATGACTAATATGATGATTATATCACTTAATGATGATTTTAGATCACTATTATGACACCAGTAATTAACATGACTACAGTAATTAACTACTGAAATAATGATTCACGAACCTACATAATATAGCTAACAAATCTTGCGAACCGGAAAATCACCATTTTCTCAAAGTTTAATCCACTCGCGAGGGCAGTGCGGCCCGCTATTTCCGGCCGGCCAAAATCCAAGACCATAATAATCATTAAGTAAATGGGCTGTGGCTGTAACAAATCACCACAGGGTAAATCTAAGAAGTCTTCTGCACGTCTTAGATGCATAACATCTGGAAAAATCTTAGATTCCTTAGTAATGCCATGCAATGCCTAAACCTCAGTATCATCCTTTTCTTTCGGTTTGCTAAACCTTGGTTCGGTAGTGTGATTATGAACCATCTTGGGCCTTTTATTATGGGGGGTATTTGTACTGACGTGCCCAGCTATAAAAGAGTCATTCTTTGTGGCTAGAATCTGGGTTTTGGTCCATTTCCGGATCAACAAAAACATGGTTACCTCACTCTTATCAACACAGTAGAGATACTAAACTGACCATAAAATCATGAGTTCGGCTTTTAGATCTCCATTTTGATATTGACAACAACGCTCCATGCGCAGCATGGGAATCTCCACAGTATCCGATAAATTCAAAATATGCCACGGTGTAGGTGCCCAGCTGCCCATGATTCCCTTGAAAGTTCCTCCGCAGCCGGAGCTGATGACGCCCGGAGCTGAAAATCGGAAGTGTCGATCCGATTTTTTGGGAAAATTTAGGGGTTGCTATACACCAAACTTGCAATTTTTAGAAGAAAAATGAGATTTCAAACACCCTTTTAGGGTTTTCCGCTAAAAATTGAGACAAACAGAAGCAGTGCTCCCCCACCTTTAAAGAAATCTCTGAAGTTGGCAAATGAGTTGGAAGTGTGAGCGTATCCCCCTTCTATGCCATTTTCAGGGATCTGCAATGATGGGACCATCCGAATCAGCTTCCTCTATCGCAGTGTTATATGGCTATTTCTATCACATACTCCAGCATACCATTCACTATGGGGTGAAGACAAGTACGATCAAATGGTTTTTTCCCACTCCAGATATTTTTTATATGGAGGGTTCCTGAAATCGGGATACCCCAAAATCATCCAAAATTGAACATATGGGTATGGATCAATACCTATTAATACCATTTTTAGGGGGATGAACATCCATAAATCCCAGCTATTTTGATGTTCACCAGGGGTACAAGGTTTTGACACACTGCCATATTTTCGTACTAAAATCCATGGTGGGCCAATCCGCTGAGCCGGGCTGAGGCTGAACGCTGATGAGGAGCTGATCCAGCCCGACGTCTCTTCACCCAGAGAGGAAGCGAGCCAAACATGGGGCACTTACCGCCGTTACAGCCACACCATTACACCATTTTAAGAGGACAATGTGTTGGGAATTCTTGGGATATTTTTGGACTCGACTGCTGGCGAGTTCAAAAGTTGGAAGTTGGGGGACTGGATTCACTGGATGTCCCCCCATTCATCCCCAGGTTTAGAACATGATTTTCCATCTTGAAATGGACTAAATCTTGGCTTTTCCCATCCCCTAGTTCGAGAAGATGATGTTCCAAAATGGCAACTTTTTTTAGTGGGAACACACCACTGATGGGAAATCCACCAGTTTGAGAGACACCCGATAGTTTTTTCATGTTTCCCTCTTATATAATAAATGATGACCATGCCCGATATCTGCCCCAAAGGCACTGCATGACCTCTTTGCGCATTATATCAGGGTGTGTCTGAAAATCGGGTAACTCCCAAATTCAGTGGTTTATCATCAATTTCCCAGTCAGGATTGTCATTTATTGTGGGTGAATCATGTTGACAGAAAGCGACCTCGCAATAAGCGGCATCCATGGCGAAGGAACTCTTGCGAGCCATCAAAGTGCTGAACATCTTCCGCTGGCCACTGGGGTTGAAACTTGAGCAAACATGTGGACAGGTACTGTACCAAGTAGGAACCATCTGGTAAAAATTAGGATAAAGACCCCCAGAAACCATGGTTTAGTAGGGGATTTACACATATTTGGATAGAATGGGGGTGTTTAATCATAGGAGAACGGACTACGTTTTTGCAAAAATGCACGGTTCTCATGGTCGAACTGGGGAAAAGGATCATCAATTGCAATCTGACCCATAAAACTGGATATACAAAACAAGAACCATGATGTGGGGATACGGCTACGGGATACTTTATGCGATTTTCCTTGGACTGAACAACCAACAATGCGATATGACTTTGTCTCAAGTCATGGGTAATGGGCCATAATTTTGTTGCAGTTTGGAGAACATTTTTCTGAATCATGGGGTTTTGAGGTGCCCACTTTGGAAACAAGGCCAGATAGCTCTGGGACATTGCTATCTGAAATTTTGGACATCTGAAACTTGAGGTCTAAGAATTAGGGATACCCTCTGGTAAACTAACATAACTATGGAAAATCACCATTTTCAATGGGTAAATCCACTATAAATCACCATGTTCAATAGCTATGTTAGTCACTACCAGAGGGTACATTTTCCCATGGCTTTTCCACACTTTTCATCCGCTGAGGTTTTGCCGTTTACCACCGGTCCAGCTGGAAGAGGAAAACTCCTGGTGCTTGGATGACAATCGGAATCAGCTGGTACTTGTAGGTTATCAATAAAATTGGTTTGAACCAATGGTACATCAAAAATGGTTATCAATAAAAAATGATTTGTATTTCATTGGTATATCACAAATCACCCAATGGCAATTGCTGGCAAGTGTCACGGTACTCATATCAATGAAATGATAATCCATGCTTGGTACTTGTAGGTAGATACCACGGTGTCGATGCTGCGTAATGAATCAGAATTGGCTAAATCCAAGATATTCCAAGATGATATCTAGATTGGTGGATATCAACTATGGCCCAACGGCTAGTAAGTCACCCAAGCAAGTGATCTCAGCTATATGTAGCATTTCCCAACAAGCTTACAACCATTAATTGGTTGAATTACAATGACCTCACATCGTAAAGTCGCTGGAACGATGGTTTCTATACGAGGAATCATCCCCAAATGGCCGTATGATAAACAGCTATTTTCAGGTTAGTAAATTGTTCTGTTGTTCAGCCATATGTATAAATATATATATATATATTTATACATATACATGTATATGTTTCTGACCATTTGAGGCGTATATCTATAGCATTTTCCCATTTTCCAAACAGTTTCAAACGACGTCCTTCAGCCAGTTCCATGGTTTGAATGTGGGACACTGACCCCCCTGTGACTTCATCGGGAAATCAGCAAACAAATTGGGACACCCATGAAAGTGAAAATCAGATGGGTCAGCTTCAATAACCACAATCATTAAGTTTAAAGATCCATGATTATTAATCACTGGTTGGTGGTTTGGAACATGAATTCTATGACTTTCCATATTATATTGGGAATAATCATCCCAACTGAGTAATTAATATTTTTCAGAGGGGTTGAAACCACCAACCAGTTATTAATCATATGGGTCAACTTTAGGACTTATCAAAAGATTAACCCCTTCCACAGGACGAGGCCGAAGTCTGTGACTTTCTGAGCAATGCCTTGATCTTGCGGCAGCCGGTGCACGTTGGGATTGGTCCATGGCAATTGTGGACGGGCACGCGCGATGATACTTAGTATATGCCATTTGTTTTGAGTTATTGAAGAGATGTGGAATATAATAGACTTGAACGTGCCTTTTGGTGCTGATGATTACCAAGTTCGAGACACACAAAGTGCATCCAAATTGCCCCAAACTAAGAAAAAAGGACTTCGGCATGGCACATGAACCACTCCACAAGATATATTCATTCATCATTCTAGTTTCATTTTTTTTGTCCCCCAAAAAGGATGGAGCAGCCATTTGTTTCACCGCTAAAAAGATGCGATTCTGCGATGTGTTTCATGACTTTTCCATCCTCTGGGGGGTAGCTATGCCAAGAATCGCCCATCGCCAAGTCATTGTCACATCGTCCAGGTCTTTCTGAGTGAGTCGCACCTCATCTCTCGACGGATCTCGGATTTGGGACACCAACTTGGAGGTGGAACGGCTGGAACAGTGGGACCTGGCGCCGGGCACGTTTTTGAGCATGGGGAGTTTCTGAATGCCCGTATGCTTGGGGTTTTTCACAGTGCTGATCATAGCTTTTTGTTGGGTTCATGACCCCGCAACATATCTCGAAGGCCTAAACATGTTGCTACTTTTTGGGCACCAGATTTTCCGTGATTTTCAGTGATCCTCTGCGAGGTCCACCAACAACTCTGTGGCTTGGTATGACAGCCAACATGAAATCGGGGAAAATTGGCTGAACATTGACTGAAAGTGAGAGAATCGGAGAATCATGAATGGGATTCCAAAAGAATTGGTGTATTAACACATACATATATATGTATATATATAATACATACTACATACACACCATATATTCTCTAACACTAAAAAACAATTGATGGTTTGCCCAGGATTTTTTGGAGTGACTTTCATCTGCCACGATACCTGTCATTTGCTGGGACCTGGACGATTCCATAGGGTGAGAATATATGAAATCAGTTTATCTACGATTCGTCATGGTTCTAAGATTCCATCATTCTGCAGTCATTCAAGGGCTTCGCCTTTCTTTCTCCGCCTGTTTGGTATCCCAAAGACATGAGGATTTAACGAGACCATTCAAGACCCAGCCAGGTTTTCTCGCAAAGGGCGATTCGACCATGATGTTGCACAAGGACGACGGTGCCAGCAAGACCCCAGCCATTTTTTGGGGGTTTCCGAAGTCATTGGGGATCCCCAAGTCACCAGAAGTATCCAAAGGTTTCAATTTTGGATGAAACATGGAGGTATTCCCTATTTTAGGACCCTCTCGTATTGTTTCTGAATGTTTCTGACATATCTCTTGGGTCCGAAGGTTTTTTGGTGGCCAGATTTCTTTGGTCTCAAAAGCTGGGCATTTTTGGATGGCTTGACCGCGATGAAAACCCAATAGGCCCAGTTCATTATACTGGTTGGTTTATAGGGATTTCCCTATTGGATTATTAGAATCCCCAATATATTGGGTCGTATAATCCCCTATAATTGTGAAAGTAGCACTTCTGCAGGGGTTTCACATGCACAGACATGTTTCACTTTCGCTCTGCGTTGCTATCGGCTCAACACTTGTCCGACTTCGCAGGGCCCTTGAGTACTTGGCTGTGCAAGCCTGGGAAAAAGCGACATGTGATTGCATCGGCAGTATCCCTCTCGAGCAAAGGACTAGAAACGAAGATAGATGACCTCAAACGTCTTTATCGGTTGATGTCCTACGTAAAGGCAACCAGCGACGTCGGTATCACACTGAAACCCATCAAGTTGTGTTCCGAGACAATCGTAGTGTCATACGGCGATTGTAGCTGGGCCAATGCCGAAGGGATGAAAAGCCAAGAGGGAATCATCGTGGTACTGTCCTCAAGTGACTGCCTTGAGGGACAATCACGCTGCATCCCAATGGACTGGAAAACATGCCGAACGCCCAGAGTAGTAAGATCAACTCTGGCAGGTGAAGCGTACGCAGCAGACGATGCGATAGACAGAGCTCATCACGTCAATGCGACGCTGACAGAAATTCTTACCGGTGATTCAATCTTGAACACAGGACCGATCCTGAAACACGCCCACGCGACGGACTGCCGTTCGCTGTTCGATTCGGTCATCAGTTCAAACCCGAACACCGAGGAAAAGAGGGTGCTCTTGACGATCCGAGCGATCCAAGAAGCACTAGACTCCAAAATGATGCGATGGGTGCCCACGGACAAGATGATAGCAGACATCTTGACCAAGGATTCTGACAACCTACGGTGGAGTTTCCTTCCGTGGATGAGAGACCCAACGTGTCAGCTCAAGCGAATCGCTGAGTGAGCCGACCAAGTGCTGGCCTCAGCAAGAAAGAGTAGGAGTGTGAAAGTAGCACTTCTGCAGGGGTTTCACATG